AGTGATTGAAAATTAATCTGGAAACAAAAAAGATTGATTTTAATAAATGTTGACCGAAAGATAATCGAGGTCGAGCAATACGAACATGATATTAGTTTTTTTAAAGGTCATTTTTTAAGAAAATGTTTTAGCTCGATGACATCGACAATAGTTTATTATGTAAATAGGTATCATACATAGAAATAAGTAGTTTGGTGTCGTATGTCGTAATAGTTAGCAATCATTATTCTTAAGAGAAGCTTCACATGAAAACCAGCTGCCTGACGACAAAACTGAGCTTCTTCTCGGTCTTCTACCTTTTGTACCAAACATAAGTGTACTTCTCACTGAGGGTGTAGGTGGGTGCGGGTGTAAGTGTGAGTGTTGCTTTTCTTTCCCATATACAGGAACACCCAAATCCTCACTCACCCATTCTCAAGATGGTTATGAATGAGCATTGTTGTTGGGAAAAAAGCGAAATTGTTTCTTACCTTTTAGTAGCAAGCGCAATATGTAACTGACGTTATTCGTTGTACTTTTACTCGTTCTTCAGAAAGATAAGCGACGAGCGCATGGCTTCTAGCTCGGCTTCTCTTCAAAAGCTTTTGTTTGCAAATTACTTTACTGTTTCGAACTGATAGGAAAAAACCAACAATTTTGGCTGACGCCACGAGTCGTAACTATTACAATTCTTGCAAAAAACCAACATGCTGAGGAAGTAGTAAATAAAATTCTCACTATTTCAAGCGGACCGGTGTGAGTCTAAATATTCTATTTTATTCACCCACACTCACACCCTCGATGAATTATTTATCAGAATGTACAATGAAAGATTATATCTATTACTATAAATATCTCTTAATTATTATCAAAACTAAAAGTAAAGTAAATCATAAAATGAAAACTTACAGATTCTTTTTACTAAATTGTTTGTTTGTGTCCAAGACTTTATTATTGATAGTGCATTATTTTACATATGTTAATAATAATCTTTACATATACATTCAAGCAGTTTTGTAATTATTATAGTTCGTGGCGAACATGCTTTACATACAAAATGACTGTAACGTCGACAATAAGGGTGGGTGTGGGTGTGGGTGAGTGTTGATAAACATAAAATGCCTAAATTCACACTCACACCCACAGTAGAATTTTCGATCTTTGTCAGAATTTTAGTTAGGTCATCATCAGTGCAATAACGAGAAATAGAAATAACTAACAACTGGTAGCTGGTGTAATTTATTATAGAATAATAATACAATAACAACATCAATATATAGAATACTCTTTAGAGTATAGGTGTGGGTGTCATTATGCTGTTCGTCGACCCTCACCCACACCCACATGATATAATGACTTGACAACAATGACATTTTTAATACAAATTAATACGAAAGCATACAATATGAAAAAAACGAACATTTAAAATGATGAGATGTTTTTATTGTTATTTTTTTGGTTCTGTGTGGAAAGATTTTGTTTTAGGCTGCGATGATTCAAGTGGAGCTATTAAATTCTGTGTTCGCCAAAAAAACAGTTTTTCTTTGACTTCTCGACGAAAACGACTTGATGAAATTAAAAACATATAACAACTTGCCTAAATATAATTTTCAAAAAGAGATATTATTCTACGTATGTAATAAAAATTTTTAAAAAAACGTACCGCAAAGTAAGAATAGCAAAGCAGGCTTACTATTACTCCAAATAAATTTTCAAGAAGTAATCTATTTTTATCTTTGATAAAATCGGATGTAATCAGAAGATAACTATTATCAATTCCATATGGTACATAACTAGTAATAACAAGTAGTACGTTGATTAAAACCATTCTGGTTAATTGTCGATCAACTTGATGTTGGACAAGCACTCTTGTCTTCTGAATATTATTATAAGCAAGATAGCCAAATAATATCATTATTGCAGCTGGAATAACACAATTAAGAGTAAGAATATATATGGCTGGAAAATAAATAGCCAAATGAGTGCTAGTACTAATACATAAATGTGTTATTGGCGATATATTGAAATATATTAAAAACGGAATTCCATGTAAACACCATATTAATATTACAAATACAATTATTCGATGTGACCATTTGATACTACTTAAATTACGAATCCAAGCATTTTGTGATGTTGTAAAAAATTGATCGATTGTTGCTAAACATGAACAATTTAAACTGATTAAACAAAGAGTTGTTAAAAAGAATGGACGAATTTTGCAGTACAAAAGTGAGGTAGTTGTTATATCATTTCCAAAACCTGCTATAAGAATACGAAATGGTAGATTGATTATAAGATAACTTATATTAAACACCGATGCAATCAGAAAATAAAATCCTGTCGGAGTTCTACGATATTGTTGAACACTTGAAAATACTAATATGTTAATTCCATTGCCAATTAAACCAACAACACCCTCAAATATCCCACCATAAATCATCAACTGTTGTGCTATGATAAGTAATGACATGATCGTGGTTTATATTTTTTTCTGTCAAAGATATTCTACAAAATAATACAAAAATATATGTCGTTTATAAAATATAAAGAATAATGAACAATACGCAAATATCGAATTGTACACGGTTTTCCAAACATAATTTAACATTAAGAGATTCGAATATATCCGCCAAATATCGATCAAACGAGCTGAAATTTTTTTATGTCAGACAGAATGAAAATCCGATTATAATGAGAGTATTTTCCATTAATTTTTGTGAAATCTATCATAGGGAAAAATTCCTTATTAATTCGATCCTACTAGCGAAGAACAGTGATTTATCGATCTGTCTGACATAAAAAATTTCAGCTCGTTTGATCGGTATTTGGTAGAGATATTCAAATTTCTTAATGGTAAGTTATCTTTGTAATACTCGGTATTTACAGTGTGAAAAAGATTCTTGGAAGCATTAATAATAACTTTCTTGTTTCTCTCCGTTGAAAATAGTCTTTTATACTCTAAAAATGTCACTCCGTTTACTCTATTTTTATGTTA